AAAAAAAAAAAAAGAAGGGAAGAATGCATGCCTATCTGCTCGTCTCCGTGTGCCACGAAGCCTTTTTAAACTGGGATTTCTTGCTTGCCAAACAGGAAAAGGTGGGATTCAAGTCTCCTGTTGAAGCCTTACGTGAAATCAGGCAACGAAAGGATAACTGGAAGGGCTGAATAATAACTCGAGCATAAAAGTAATGCTTTTATAGTTCCTGTTTTGCGTCTACAAAAAGGTGGAAATGTTACTGGCGAAATTGATGTCAACTGTGCTGAAAGTTTATGCTTTTCCTTGCGATGTTGTGTCTTTCAAAATCATAACCTAACGCTTTATTTGAAATGTATTTGAGCATGAGAGAGTTCGCGACTTTCCTTGGCTTAGACTCAAATGCTGGTTAATTTCCTGTGTAATATGATGTCATAATCTCTTGAAAATTTTGGCAGATCACCATTCAAAAGTGAGGTTCCGTTTAATCAGGCTTTATTGAGCAAGTCATTTATAGGAAGAAATAGTTTGTTTGGGCACGGAAGCTAAATGTGTTTAGCACAGAAAAGTCAAGTAATTCTCACAATAATCCCAAAATCAATTCCCCGAAACAAATTGAAATATTCACACATACCAAAAAATAAAAATAAAAAATTGTTTTGTAGTCTAAAGGTAACCTAATTTTGTCTCAAAGGTGCATTACAGGTATGAAACGCGTTTATCTTTATTTCTCTTATTCTTTTTTCTTTTTAGTTAAATTTTCTTTTTTCAGACAGTATCACTATTCACTAACGAAGAGACTGGTCATCCCTGTATTTAGTGCAAGATTATTTGAAAGCAATTATTTGTGACGACCAGGATATCAAGGTAATCAGCAATATATTCATCTGCCAAAATAATTAAATATAATAATTAAGCATCATACACGTTTGCGCGATTTCTTAAGTAGAATTATCCTCTGGAGCCAAAGAGAAGATAATGTTGCATGTGACCAGAGATTTTCTTTGTTGGAAAAACGATTTCCTCCTTTTTTACAGCTTTTAAGTCGTTCTCTTCTACAAGTTTTATTTTGAGTAAGACTCAATTAACAATAGTTGTGTGAGGTCATATTCTATACTTGAAAAGTGTATTATATTGGGGAAAAAGATCCAGTCAACTACTATTGCCTCAAGTAATATTCAAGGGCCTTTTAATTTATGCCATGTGGAGTATAAATAATTAATGGCTGAGATCAATTTACGATTTATACCTATAAAAAATATGAAAATTGACCAAAATTATACTAACGACACTAATTAAAAACTAACCCCTGTTTCTTACTTCTTTTTTTCTTTTTAATTATTTCTTACATTTAACAAAATAAAGTACTACTATAACTTGTACTCAGTTTAGAAATGAAATAATTTTCAGAAAAAACACTACAAAGCAATACTCAACTTCTTTTTAATTAGTCCAACTCCATGAAATATTTGCAATATCGCAAAAGTTCCAAATGATCATAAGTTGCAATTACTTGTGCTCAAGCTATGAGTTTAAATCTAAGATGTAAAACAAAATCAAAGTTTCATACTCAATACCAAAACATTCTGCAATATTGTAAGTAGGTTGCTGAGAATTTATAGCCTTCTATCACCCTTTATGTGGTAAAAATAGCACGGTCTAGCCAGTTTTCGGACTGGTCATTCAAAAATAGCCAGCGTTTATCAAATCAATGAAAAATAGCCACTATCTTGCTGCAACAGAGACCGGTCCAGCATAATATACTGGAGTTCGGTGCACCTGTGTATGAACTTCCAGCATATTATGCTGGAACTCCAACACACAGAAAGTTCCAGCATAATATACTGGAGATTCGAGCACTTGTGTATGAACTTCCAGCATATTATACTGGACCGGTATACTTTGCTGGAACTCCAGTATATTATGCTGGAGTTCTAGTGTACTTATGCTGGAACTCCATCATATTATGTTGGGGTTCCAGCATAATTATCCTGGAACTCTAGTATAATATGCTGGAGTTCAAATATACTTATACTGGAACTCCAGCATAATATACCGGCGTATTTTTCGGGTTTTGAACAGTGTTTTCGCTCGGATTTATCTTTATATGAAAAGTGGCTAGATTTCAATTACTTTTAAAACTAGACTATTTTGAACGACCACTTGTAAATCTGCCTATTTTTGAATTTCTCCCCTTTATGTGAGTATTGTATGTGGGAATTGGAGAAACATTCTCTATGCGAGCCAATTAAGCTGACTAGGGTTAATTAACGAGTAATATTAATTTTTAGAAAATATTTGACATTTCTTAGCTTGAAATTATGGTGCTTTATTTGGCAAAAAGCAAGAAACATATCAAGGAAAAAAAAAAGAAGTAAGAAATGTGAGTTGGTTTTTAACGGGTTGTATTAGTATAATTGTTGCATTTTTTAGTTTTTTGATAGGTATAAAACAGTGGCGGATCCAGGATTTTAAAGTTGTGGGTGCTCACTGATAAAAATTCTGAAAGAAGAGGAAAAAAGAATTTAGTTATGGGTGCTCACTCAATATTTATCTAAATACTTTTATAATTACCTATACAAATTTGCTAAATCTTGTCAAAGTTAATGGGTGCTTGAGCACCCAAAATCATAATATAGATCCGCCACTGGTATAAAATATAACTAGATCTCAACCATTAATTATTCTATTAGTGCGCATGACATAAATCTAAAAAAGGCCATTGAATATTACTTGAGGTTAGGGGCGTACAAAGGAAACCGACAAATCGCACCAATTCGATAATCCGAGTCAAATCGAGAAAAAAAACCCGACCATGATTTGGTTTGATTTGGTTTGGTGTTGGAAAAAAAACCTGACCATAATTGGTTTGGTTTGGTTTTAACTAAAGAAAGTCAAACCGAAACCAAACCAACCCGACATTATATATATAGAAATTTTAGATGTATTTCATATATAAATATATTATTGTTATGTAATTTATAAACATTTCTTAAAAAATTTCATAATTTTATCTTTTAAGGTATTATTTTAAGGTTGAACTTAGAACTTTTGACCGTTCCAATAAGTTTTATAGTCATTAATATTAGTAAATTAAATAATGCTAACAAAAGCCAAACCAAAATCAAATCAATAATAATGCTAACAAAAGAATTCAATTCAATAGTCAATACCACGAACGGGAATGTATTGAATATCTATTTTTTGTTTTGCAATAATTTAGATTAAAATGCATAACCTTTTTCATCTTTTCTTTAGTGTTTAGTCATGTAATTAATACTCTCTTATTTGTCTACTTACTTTAGCATGACTTAGTACTTTTAGATTATGTTTATTATGATTTTTTAATTAGAATATTGTCTTTATTGTTGAATATTTTAGGATAATGCCATGACACATCTCATATTTTGTATTATTTTCTTAGAAAATACTTTATATAGTTGTATCTTATTAGGATTAAAGAAATATTTTGAGCACAAGTTACATATTTTGTTCTACGAAGATTTTACCGGAAAAAACCCGAAAAATCCGAATAATCCGAAAACCCGAAAAAACCGAGATTGAAAAACCCGAGTTTTGTTGGTTTGATTTGGTCTGTAGATTTAATAACCCGACACAATTGGTTTGGTTTGGTAATCATAAAATCCGAACCAAACCGACCTATGTACACCCCTACTTGAGGTAATATTACTTGACTGATCTTTTTTCATTATATTGGGTCCTACACGTCTAGAAATAGAACGACGCCAAATCTCTCTCTCCTCTTCCAAGTACTAAGAGGGTGTTTGGATTGACTTATAAAAAGTAGTTTTTAAGCTAAAAGCCAAAAGTCATAAGTTGGTAATACCCAACTATTGGCTTTTGGCTTATTTTTGTACTTTTCATGCCTAATAGCCTGTTTTGCCAAGCTTCTTTTTGGCCAAAAGTGCTTTTTTTGGCCAAAAGCACTTTTGGCCAAAAATTGAGGTGTTTGGCCAAGCTTTTGGAAGGAAAAAAAGTGCTTTTGAGGAGAAGCAGAAGCAGTTTTGGAGAAGCAGAAAAAAGTAGTTTCTCTCCAAAAGCACTTTTGAAAAAAATACACTTAGAAGCAGTTTTTTAAAGCTTGGCCAAACACTAATTGCTGCTCAGAAGTGCTTTTCAAACTAATTAGCCAAACACAAACTGCTTCTCACCAAAAGTACTTTTGAAAAAGAGCACTTCTCAAATAAGCTGATTTTTGCAGCTTGGCCAAACGGGCTATAAAAGTAAGTGCTTTGAAGCACTTTTTATCATTGTCAAACACCACACAAACTAAAAAAGTGCTTAAAAGCCAATAAGCATTTAAAATAAGTCAATCCAAACACCCTCTAAGCCATCTTCTTCCCCGTTCCTTCTTTATCTCTTTTTCTTTTTACCGCTCTTTCTCTCGAGTAATTAAAGAGGGAAATAAAAATTTAAAATAACTTAAATAGGTGTGGAGTATTGAAAATTTTTGAAAATTTGAATGAATACCCACAACTTTTTCTATGTTTAATCTGACCCCCAAGCCCCTTTAATTACTATTTTTTTTGTTAACCAAAAAAGATGTCCTATATTATTACACAAAACTTGAAAAGTCTTTTTTAACTCATTCTTCGGAATAAGTTTAATCGTATATGTTGTACTTCCAGACTTACGAATCAAAATGCAATTTAGAACAATGATTAGGTATCTATCCTTTTTATAATGTGTACCTTTATATTTCTTAATCCAATCATATAAAAATATTTGAGGAATAATTATCTTAACAAAGGATTTCAAGCACCTTTAGACTAAATTGCATTTTACATTCTTAGAAGCGGAGTTAGATTTTGAATAACTTTGATACTTTCTTTGGAGAAACGATTTTGACGTATTCGGATTCGATCAGATCTATATAAGATTCATTAAAGGGAGAAACGTTTTTCATGATTATATTTTAAAATTTCAGGACTTGAATCCCTTGGGGAGAGAACCTATCTATCCTAATTCCTAATACTCCTTCCGGTCCAAAATAGTTGTCATGTTAAAAAATTAAGATATATTAATTACTTTTTATTTTATTTTGCCCCTAGTGTTAAATGTTCTTGAAAGATTTTCTTTTTGACTATATAACATAAAATACTTAGAAATGAAGAGTATTAAATAAAAGCATAATAGTCAAAAAAATTATTTTACTAATAGGTTCTCAAGTGAGGTGTAAAAATGGACATGAGATATTATTATTATCATAATAATAATAATTATTATTATTATTATTATTCAAGTTTCCAAGTCAAAAGGGAAAACTTCAAATTTACTCTTCCTTCCTCCTTTTGGCATAAATATATATATTTTTTGGTAACGCATAAAAATTATTGGAATAACCATTTCTCCGTTTAGACCCTTCTTCCCAATTTTCCTCTAATATTTCTTTTTTTCTTTAGCCTTAAGTAGCTTTCTCCCTCATCTGACTTCTCTTCATCTTCCTCCTCCTCCTTCTTCTTCTTCTTCTTCAGCTGCTAAAAATTTGCATTCTCCAAGCAATACTCCAAAGTTTTATAGCAACAAGAACCCTATATATTGCCGTGTTTACTGTTTTTCCTTTTTTTCAAAGTCTTGTATTGATGGAGACTTCAAGTGTTGACACAAATCCGAATTCTAATTCATCATCTCCACCTACTTCTAATTCAAGCACCTTCGGATTTAATCTCACTCCACTTCGAGTCTTGAGGTACCCGCTTTCTACTTTCCTTGAATACTCCGGTTTGCTCCGGGTCCGACCCGACAACCCTGAAGCGGATTTGCTCATTCCTGATAATAACCGTATTCCCGATAACTCTGAATCAATATCTAGTAGTGGTGACAGTAATGCTAGTAGTACCGGCGAAGTTTCAATTAGGATAATTGAAAATGATGGGGTTAGGAGTGAGGGTGTTGGTGTTGATGTTGATGTGATGGAGGAGAGGGGTTCTAGTTCTACGGGGAGTGGGGGTAATAGGGATTCTTCTTCCTCATACCAAAGGTATGATATACAGCAGGCTGCAAGGTTGATTGAGCAGATTCTTCCTTTTTCCTTGCTCCTCGTAGTTGTTTTCATCCGCCAACACTTGCAAGGTATACTCTTTTCTAGTCATGTTACCAATTCTACTTTACGTCCTATGCTTTTATAATAGTACGATTTCTATGTCTGTAGAAAATATAAAAAACTTCTAATATTTTTTTTCTGACTTTTTGTATATAATTGGCTTAAGATGAGTTTATATGAAGTAACATGGTCAATGAGGATTCATATAGCTGACCCCAATTTGTTTGTGACTGGGGCTTAGTTGTTGCTGTTGTTCCATCATGTGTGGAGTTGCACAATTTTTTTTTGTTTTTTTTTTTGGTGGTGGTTAAAGGTTTGAAGTTGAGACTACACCGACTGGTTTTGATTACTCTACGGTTGTGAGAGAGAATGTGATTATCAGTAGTAACCTAAGCATGTTGTTAATGTGTAGCAAATGTTACTGAACCAAACTTAAACTGAAGAAGGGTGTGAATAGTGAAACAAAAGTTCAAATGAAAACTGGAATCAAAGAAGAACGCCATCTTCCAATTGTTCCAAATGAGTGCAAGCAATGTCTTTGTACAATGCAAAAGAGAAGGCAAGTCACGTGGAAATGACCTCCTCATCCTAACAAAGCATACAAAAGAAATATTTGGCATTAAACTATAATGGACGAAATCTCATGGAGGATTAATCGGTTACTCAAAAAATATAATAAATGGTAACTCTATAGATACCGCATTCATTTTAGATATTTTTAGTGATACATGTGCCACTTTGTGTGACATGCTGTCATATGGTAATATATACCTCTACACTCTGGTAAAAGAAATGGTAATGTATTGTATGTTCTTTTAGATTAATATGTGAACAAGTAAAATTACGTCTAAGACTCTGGACTAGCTGGCTATGCTGGCATCTGCAATTTGCTCAAGGCCGAGTCCCTAGGCTGTCTATGAGGGGTCATTTGGTATGTGGAATAAGGGAAAATAATCCCAGGATTATTTTATCCCCGCGTTTGGTTGAATTTTTGTATCCGATATTGGTGATCCTGGGATTAATTAATCCCACAATATGTTTATTCTATCTCACATTGAGGGTGGGATAATAATTCCGGGATTAGTTAATCCCGGGATAAACACTAAAACGGCAAAGATATACTTCTCTAAGGCTCTTCCCCAAAGTCTTTTAACCATTCCAAGGTTAAAATTGAAAATAAAAATTTATCCCAACTTATCTAGTATACACCAAACACATGCCTATTTTATAACCAGTATATCCCATTTTTAGGCCAATGAACCATACATCTACCAGTAAATATATATTCACTAAATAATGCGGTCATTATTTACTCCCTGTATTATAATCCCATCATAATAATCCCGGAATAACTTGTTCTCCTACCAAATGACCCCTGAAGGCTTGAGGCTTAACTCACTAGCTTCACTTGTCAGCTGCAGTTGGTATCCTCATGTCGGGTTGTGGTGTTGGCGAAAATCTAGAAGCTGGCAACCCGCCATTCTATTGCCTAGGAATCAATCTGGATATGGTCTCTATCATTTTTCTCTTTGGTGCTTCTATTGATTGATAACTGTTACCGGAACGTTATGTGATGTTTGATGCAACTGCTGAAGGGGAGCTTTTTGATGATGAGAGTAATACATTTTTGTTCTATGACCACTCCTACTCATTACGAATCTGTTGTGTGCTCACTTCTTAGAGTCACTGAGGCTAATGAAAAGAAACGTGAAGATAGAACTCTAAAAATATGTTGGAAAATGCCTTTGAACATGATAAACAGTTCCATGAAATTTTTTGACGTGTTGGGATATTTGCATAGCTCTTTGCCTTTTTAATCTATCATGTTATTTACTAAGATGTGAAAGGCCTGTTTTCTTTTTCCTGATATAAGGTTATATTTTGATGAACATTCCCCTAGAGACGTTTGACGGCATTATCTACTTTTGCCTTCTGGCAACATTTTCTGGAATACTCAGAAGTTCCTGAGAGTAATGTATATTGTAACAAATGAAACTTTCAATTAATCCTAAATGAAGTTTTCAGCAATGGCAAGCAGTAAATGATAGAAGTGGATTATTGACTAATTCTAGGTTTAAGATGGGGATGAAAAAAACGATGGTGCCAATTTTCACCTTCGTCATGGAGACTAGTGCATCATGATGCATGTTACTGAAGTAAAGTTGCTGACAGTATGAATAGACTTAGTGCCCAATAAAGTTTGACGAGTGCTGCATAACTCAAGCTGGCTCTCAAGTTTCAATTGGTCTTTTCAGATATGGACGCTTATCAATACTGGCAATTCTCGTTCCAATTTCATTGCTAAAAGTTTGATTATTCACATATACATGCTAAATTTCTTTTCAGCTGCATGAGTCCTTTATTTCATTCTCTAATTCATGTTTTGCAGGTTTCTTTGTCACAATTTGGATCACTGCCTTCATGTTCAAGTCAAATGACATTCTTCGAAAGCAGACAGCTCTAAAGGTGCAATTGTGCTCCATCTTTTAATTGTATTTAGTTTTACTTGCTGTGCAACACTTATCCTCTTTGAAGCTCGATACAAAGATTAAAATGGACTCAGAATATGGTCATACTGAAGTGCTGATATTTGCAGGGGGAGAGAAAGATCACTGTCCTTCTTGGTTATTTTCTGGTGTATATGCTTCATGTTATTGGAATCTATTGGTGGTATCACAAAGATGATCTTTTCTATCCATTACTTATGGTACCCCCGAAAGTTATTCCACCTTTTTGGCATGCTATTTTCGTCATCCTGGTAAATGGTATGATTTTTTGATACGCTTCTACTCTTTGTTATGCATACATTTGTATTATGCTATACACATCTGGTCACCTTCTAATAATTTGCCAATTTTTTTTGTTATAACATGAATAATTTCCCTGAAAAATTAAATCAGAGTGCTTTTATGAAGTGGCAGCTTAAGATCGGAAATTTCTTCTGTTTCTGATCATTATTCTAGTTTCCCTCAAATTAAATTCACATGCCATTGCTCTATTTCGTACTTGAGGGTTTGGGAGATAGGATAATCCACTGAAATCATATAATAGAAAACCTACTTCCTTCACAGCCCCCTGCATCCCCCTCCACCCTACCCCCCCCCCCCCCCTAAAAAAAAAAAAAAGCAACAGTAAAATAAATAAACAAGAAAAAGAAAGACCCCTCTGCTTTCATCACTAGGGATCTTTCTCCTTTTTACCAATAAAATAAAAGAAAGGAAACCCCTCTGCTTAGCTCCAGACCCCGTAGAAGATGAAGGAGTGTGAAAAGGAGAAGGAAGAAATATTATACATGAAATCATACAAGGGAATTATTCATGAAATCATACCAGGGAGCTATTCATGAAATCATATCAGACAAAATTGCCTAGCGGCTTAATTTCCCCCTTGATGACCCTTTATCAGGTGCCCTTTATGCTTTATCAGGTGCCCTTTATGCTTTAATAGTTCATTTTTGCCATGTAGAAAGTGATTGTTCCACTCTATATTGTTCCACATTTCCAATGTGGTCCGGCCCTTCCACCCCGCCATAGTGGGAGCTTAGTGCACCGGGCTGCCCTTTCAATGTTGTACTACATAAATCTATCTTCATCTTTTGGGGAGCTATGAAGGCTCTTAACTCTAGACATCTCATAGGAAGGGGCATCAGTCCTCACCTTCTCCTGAATGTTGTTATATCCAGATACAATGGTGCGGCAGGCAGCAATGGCTTTGAAATTGGCACTGCTTATGTATTACAAGAATGGCAGGGGCCACAATTTCCGCAGACAGGTATACTATGAAGCCAATGTTTTATGTTTTATCTGGCGATTTGTTGGTTCCTCTATGTTTTTTTGCAAAGAACACTGAACTTGACTGGTCTCTTAGGGCCAAATGCTGACTTTGGTGGAGTATACCCTGCTTCTATACCGTGCATTATTACCGGCTCCTGTCTGGTATAGGTTCTTTCTCAACAAAGAATATGGAAGCCTTTTTTCATCATTGACAACAGGATTGTACTTGACGTTTAAGCTTACATCAATTGTTGAGAAGGTAAGGTCTTTGTGGAGCTAATTTCTGTTGGTGGTTACCAAAATTAACTGGAAAAGCCACAGCCCTCCCCAATCCCCCCCCCCCNTTTTGCCGGGGGGAGGGGGCACCCCACAATTTTTATACAAATTTGGCATGGTTTCCCTCTCCGTCACACTTAGTTTTTGCCGGGGGGAGGGGGCACCCCACAATTTTTATACAAATTTGGCATGGTTTCCCTCTCCGTCACACTTAGTTTCTGGTTCGCAGGTTCAATCATTCCTTACTGCTTTGAAGGCATTGTCAATTAAGGAAATCCATTATGGGTCACATGCCACACCTGACCAGGTATCATTTTGTCATTGGCTTGCAATGTTTCTTCTCTATTTTACAGTTAGAAGCAGTTATATGTATCACAAATCGATGCACTAAAATTGAAAAATATACTTGTGTAAGGTGGGAGGAAAAGTTATTGTGCTTTTCGTGGATAATGAGAGGGTAGCATCCTGATATTATTTTTTCGTCGCTTTTCTTTGGTCTGATGATGAATTTCATGTCGCTTCCTTATAGCAACTTTATTCCTGTATAGACTGACCATATCGTTTTTGTAAGCTATTGAGTTGTGTTACCAACATTGAAGTGTGTCGTACAACCTCTATGTTGTTTCCGCTCTTCGTTTCTTTACCTATCTTTAAGCTACCGACTCTTCTTTTTCCAAGTAGGTAATGTTAGTTCAACTTCTAAATGACCATTGACTCAGTGATTTATGCATATGGACATGTAGTAAATGCCAAAATTCTGATCCCTCGTTTATAGACTTTAATCTCAGTTATCTAAGGACAGTTTACATTCGTAAAACTTTTGCCTTTGCTTGGTGTCTAGGTCAAATAGTGGAAAGTGTGCTTGGGACTACCAAATGTAAAAGTTGCGGAGCTGAAGTTGGGGTGTTTTATGACAATTTCAACTAGAAGCAATCTAAAGCAATCCCCAGTTTAATATACTAACAGACAGATCTGTGAGACATAAAATAGCAAATGCAAAAGATTAAAGTGACACTAGGTCTGAAGCTATAAATGACATACTCTTTTATGGCATGTCCTTAGATTCGTCAGCTCTTTTTCTATCAGTTAGATAGTTACTACTTTCTTAGAGAAGCTGTAAAGATAATCTTCTGGTTCTTAGAGTTACTTATATGGAACAAGCAGCAAGCATATTATCGCTCATTTTGGCAAGGAAGAGAATTACCTAATTAGATATCTTTCCTTTTCCTTGTATCTGTAATTTGCAATTCTCTCATGTAATCTTACCTTTTATGGTTCAACCAGGTAACTGCAGCTGGTGATCTATGTGCTATTTGCCAGGAGAAGATGAATGCACCAATTTTGTTGCGTTGCAAACACATCTTTTGTGAAGACTGTGTCTCAGAATGGTTAGTATTTCCTTTTCAGTTATAATTGGTAGGTAGTCATTCTTTATTCCTAACAAGGTAATTAAATATTTTATTAATTAAATACAGAATATCCTAAAGTATCCTATAGAATTCCTATTAACATTTTTCTTATTCAACTTCGATTAATCTAGACATATGTTGATCTAGACGCATTCTACTAAGATTCAACACGCTCCCTCAAATTGGCAAACCAATTTGAAATTGCTAATTTTGAAGACCGCCAAAATGTTGCTGGGATAGTGCACAATCACCAAAGGATTGCCACCAAAATCTCACTGGAATAGTGCACAATCACCAAAAGATTAAGCAGTGTTGGAATTCTTTTGTCGCAAAATTCGTTGGAAACTGCACAGTGAAATAAAGTGCTTCATGGACAACATATAGAGGTTTGGTGTTGTAAATCTCCAAGGAACTATTAGCATAGCTTGAATTGCAGAACAATAAAAGAAAACATTAAGGTTTAGTGGAGGGTCATGGAGAGTAGAAAATGGAGTGGCACCGGTCGTGCGTAGAGAGGAACGACGTTGATCGCCAGAGAGAAGTTTTTTCTAGTTCCGGGGAGAAGATGACGCTGATTGTTTGAGAGAGAAGTACCATCATTCACCCAAAGAGGAAAGAAGGAAGAAAAACATTAGCAGGGCATATGGTGTAAGGCATTCCGGCCGGTAGAAGTCACTTATATCTTTACCAAGATTGTAGAGGCTCTGGTACCATGTGAAAATGGATGCGGAAACTCTTGTTGAATTTGGTTAACAAGCAATTTATAAGAGGGGCTTCTTGCATAGGAATCTTAAGTAACGTACAAGGTAGTAAATAATCATACTCTATGCCCAACAAGAGAAGTAAATATATTATTTATTAAATACAGGTTATCCTATAGAATATTCTGTAGTATTTTCTTATTCAAGTTCGATGAATCTACACATTTGTAAATCTATACACATATTCTCCTAGCTTCCGTTGTTTGATGTCGCGCCCCTCTCCAACACCCGCCTCTCTACTCTCTGAAATGACCATTCAGTGATTGCTCCTCTCTGAGACGATCGTGCAGTTATTGCTCCTCTCTGAGACGATCGTGACAAGCAGATGTCACTCTTGTCGGGACTGTTCAGGCGCCGCTCCTTTCTCAAATGATCATTTAGGCATGGCTTCTCTTCCGTGATCATGTAGGAGCCATTCTTCTCTCCAGCAACCGACTGGATTCCTCTCTCCTGCGATAACATTGGCACTGTTCCTCTCTCCAGCAGCTGACACCTCTCATCTCTCCGGCAACCAGCGCCACACATCTCTACAATGACTGATCATGCACCGCTAATATCTGCGGTGAATGTTCCGGCATTGCTCCTCTCCTATGTCGGTTGTCATTGTTTCTCTCTTGGATGGTCAACTGCTCATCTCTCCCGTGATTGGCTCCCCTCCTCTTAGGTGCCTTCCTTCCTACAGCGACCGAGGTCTTTATGTAATACTTGATTATTTTTATAATTAAAATATTATTGCTATACAGAATAATATTTACCTAATCTAAGGTATAATATTAGATATTCATATCATTTTCAAAAGAATAATTTTTTTTAGATATATCATATCTGCAGATTCCTTAGATTCTCACCATAATATAGCCTTATCAAAAAGATTCTTACCATAATATAGAGATTGATAACATACTAAGGTTCTGGGCTTACATCTCACCGCCATCCATTATTTAAAAAAATTATCACGTGCTTGGCCCAGCAAAAAAGAGTCTGACCCGCACGTATAGTTTGAACATTTTAATGAGGTGGTCAGACATAATGCCGTGATTCATGTGTGCTTTTTTCTCATTGGTCCCGCAACATTAATTACTAAGTGCTTTGTAGCATTTTACTTCTAATAAAATATTTGAAATGCACCAAACTATCATCAGCATTTGTGTTGATCCTGCCATGTATTGCTGGTGAAGGCCATAGCCCGTAGGTAGCTATTAGAACAAGGGAATGCCTACTGGAATATTTAATGGATGCCATAAGTGCTACTAATTGGGCAATGTCCGGAAAGAATTCTACTTGCTTAAATTGAGATTGTTGCATTTGTATTTGAGAGCCCTTTGTAACTCTCTGAACTAGTTGTCATGACCATAAGCCAAAGTAACTGTAGTTTGCTCTCAGAGCGAGTTTTTATCTAATTGAAAATAGTCGCAAGTCCCTAATTCGGTGGAAGCATATCATTTATCACAAATGAATTCGTCTTGCCCTCAGAAGAAGAAGAAAACTGTGATTGAGGCTGCTGTCATTTTCAATTTTAGTCTAAAGATGTTTCCAGTGGCTAATCTGGTCTTTCAAAGCAGACCTTAATGCTGAAAAGGAGAACCACGGAGGAAAAAGAGAGAGAGCGCCTGTGTTCACGTGTTATTTTTAAAGTAGGAACTGCTCAATCATTATTATGTTCTCGCTTTCCTCTGCCTTATTGCTTGACTGTTGCCTATTATCATGGACATATTCTGAATGCTAAAAAAGTGTTATGTCTATGCTTGTGCTAACAGTTATTGTCCTCTAAACACCATGTTTCAGGTTTGATAGGGAAAGAACTTGCCCTTTGTGCAGAGCCTTGGTCAGACCTGCTGATCTAAAATCTTTTGGAGATGGATCGACTAGCCTTTTCTTCCAGTTATTCTAAATATAGATGTTACACCAGAGTGAATATCTTTCCGTGGTAGTGGGAATATCCTCGACTTGCCAGTTCCTGAGTTATGAAATTACCTGATTCTGGGGGTTGCCCTGTTAAGGTTTCCACGAGGATGTTGCGTAAGAATGGGCTATGCTCTTGATGCAGTTTCTCTGAGGATTTGGCGGGGATGAGAGGATGTCCTGATCCAATAACAGTACATATTGTGCTTCATTTTTTTATACAGAAAATATTCGTGTAATGTTATGTAATTCATAAAATTTAACCACAAGCATTAAAATTTTGTTTCTTTTTCAGGCCTGTACAGTTCCTCATCATCATTTCAACTTGAGAAAAATTAATATCCTAGTATATTCCATGTAGGGGTGTGCATTCGATTTTGACCCTTATCGATAATTACTTATCGATTTGTACATATGCTTATTGTTATCGTTTCAATAAGGTTTCGATTTTTTCGATTTCGATTTATCGATTTTTGGGGCTTATCGATTCGGTTATCGATTACACCAATAAGAAAATTTGCGGGATTCCAGGGAAAGTATATCGCTATAAATACGCCTAACTAATATGGACAAAAAGAAGCTAAAATAAGACGAACACCGTTTATAACATAAAAATTGTGTCAACGAGCACATGCAATGAAACTAAAGTAAGGGATCAAATGTATGCCACCAACACTCCAACGGTATTAAAAAAAAAAAAATACATCATCACAGCTAATTCTGCTAATGCTTGAAATTGTAACAAAGGCACGGGGAGGGAGAGAGAGAGAGAGAGAGAGAGAGAGGGAGGGAGGGAGGGAGAAACGTACTATTGAAGTTGCCGGAGTACGGCGGAGTACGCCGGAGTTCACTTTCTCTGATGGGTTTGCAGTTCGCGGGAGAGAGGGAGAAAGGTAAAAGCGACGCTGAAGAATGGGTAGAGGAAATAATAGGGTTTAGGGGCTTAGGGTAAAGGAAAGGGTATTATAGAATAAGGGTATATCCGTCTTTTTAGTATATCTTATCGGTTTATCGATAAATCGATAATCGAAGAGGACAAAATCGAAATCGATAACTCGATAAGGAAAATTTCGAAATCGAAATCGATAAATCGATAAACCGATATCGATAAACCGATAACAAATAATCGATTCGATTTATCGATAAACCGATTTGAATGCACACCCCTAATTCCATGTATCCTACAGCACTAATGAAATACAAATGATGGTGTTGGGGCCGGGGAGACTCGCGTCTTTATTGGCTATCACGAGGCAGCCCTGTGATTAATTTCCAGACCTCTGGCTGATCCTTCCCCTCAAAAAGAGAGATACTTATTTTGTCTCAATTTTTATGAGAACCTTTCATGTAATATTAAATATGACACTCACTCTTTTTTAGTATTTGCTCTAAACTATTTGAAACTGTTTTACTTTTGTTCAACTTGAACAATTTGAATTTATTAAATTGTTCGCGATACAACTCTGATTTGATGTTTTTTTTTTTGAACCATCATCCTTGCGCAAGGGAAATTTTGATCATTTCTCGATTTGTGCATGAGGCATGCTAATCTTCTCAATATCGTTCTCTGATTTGATGCTTACTCTCTTATTACAACCACAACCTTAGTTTTCTCCTCCATCATAACTACTCTAGTATATTATACACTATCAAATTAATAAATTAAACTTCGTGTCCAGATAAATGTTACGGATGGAGCAGAAAATAGAAACATGTATAGACCCTGCGTGCAAACATATGTTATCAGCATTAACAATCAAATTTGGAACGGCTAGAGTTGTGTCTACATTGGTACTGCTTCTTAGCTTTTCTTCTTTTTCCCAATCGATGATCCACATGAAGTCAGCTGCGGAATTTATTACAAAAAGGAAAATGAAAAGGACCCTTAATCAAAACTAATCAAACTGGTTCTGAAACCGGTAGTGAGATTAAGCCATTGCCAACCAAGCGTTCCTATAGCATCATCCATTGCTTCTATCAGGACATGAAAGTTGGTAATACAAGGTCATAGATGTTTACTTGGAGCAGAGATGTCTAAACTATTGAACCAGAAACAATACCGAGTAAATTCAACACCATCTAGCTGACTAGCTGTCATAAAAAGCACAATCAAATGATACTTGAGAACAGGATACCCCCTTTGAGAATCCAGTAAAAGGAAAACAATCACTTATATACAGAACAGAGACGGTGAAAAAGTTCCATGTATTAGTACAGAATAAATTACATTAGTATAAAAAATACAGCAGATAATCTGAAAATTTTATATAGAGAGAGCCGCATGAGCCATTATATACACATTAATCAGCAAACATAACTTATTATTTACTAGCGTTTTACTCCCTTCTTTTCAATTTCACATGAGAGTAAATCTGAGATTTATTTACAGGGAAAGTACTTCTAAAAACAGAACTATCTCTGCCTACTCTCTGTTTTCAGAAAGCGGACATATTCCTGCTGTACCATTTCTCCTCCATTCACAGGATCAAAGCTGCACCTATAGAAACTGACAGAAGTCCAAGAGTTGAGAGAAAGGAGAACATTTTAGAAACGGTACAAACTTTTTAGTTCTAATGCCAGAATACCTTGAACAAATGCTAAATATCTTCTTCTTAATTTTTTTTTTGGGGGGTGGTGGGGTGGGTGGGGGTGGGGGTGGGGGTGGGGGTGGGGTTGTTAATGCTAAATTCTTACACCCTATTTTATCTACTCAATTACTCCAATCTCCACCCAAAGCGCCAAAAGAACATATGCCAAAAGGCTAAAACTGAATTTGCTGACTATAGTTGCAATAGAGTAACAATTAAGCCAGAAAGAAAATTATTTAGTACCTTCCATCAGTGCCAGCAGTAACAACAGTGTTCTGAGAACCAAACGCAACAATGTACTGGGTACATTCTGGCAAGTGAAACTGAGCAAATGACCATTCAGAGCTAAAGTACTTTGGCAGAACTCCTGAAAATTTGTATTCAGAAAAGGAATCAAATTAGAACAGTTCCAACAGAAAATTGACAGTGTCACCTCACCACTATGGATAAAGAGGTAAAATTTTGTGAGAATATCAAATCAGTTTCAGAAGTCAATCAATTGACCTTATTAAACTTGGCAGTTAGAATAATGCAGCATAGTCATTACAAAATCAGTTTAAAACACTATGGCATATTCCTATTAATATAATTATAAATGTCAGGGAAACATTGTACAGGCATTTCGGGTTGATGTCTAATTTCACAACACTCACCTTTCATAAAAGACAATGATGAACCAGGGTTGGCTCCAGTACTTGGAGAAATAAGTGCATCAAGAGAATTTGATGAATTTTGACACAATAATGTTGGAGTTCTAACAGCAGAATCAGCTGTAGCATCCTCGCCAACAACACGTACTCTTAGGCTGTACACATGGATGGTACCTTTGTCACTAGAGACGGCCAACCACTGCACATTTGGTGATAGAGCAATACTATATATATCTGCTTTGTCAACACCTCTACGCACCTAACGCAAAGCATTGTAAGGAATTAAGCAATCTACGCTAAAGCTAACATATCATCATTCAGTATTAGAGTCACCATTAGATGAAAGGAAAGCCAAAATAGAAAAGGAATCATATAAAGCATGCTTTTAATCTAATAGGAAATTAGAGGAAAACATCTCAAAATCAGTATCCAAAACCAAAAGGTGGCCCCATTAATACCATTTTGTATTTTGTAGACAATTAGAAGTCTCAAAGATTTTGTAGATTGTCTCACAAGAGTATTACAGGCCCTAAAGTATTCTTAAGGGAGAGATTCTTAACAAACTAGCAGCAGAGTGAAGAGCTAAAGAAGACTCAACTAACAAGAGACAACAATTAATTCTAAAGCTAAGTAGACTTTTGATGTACTGTCCATTCAGCAATTCCATTTTCAACCATCAGAAACCAGACAGAAGTATGCTTGAGAAATATTACCTCCCTAAAGCATGTAAAACCATACTATACAGAAATTCAAAATATTCAGCATCATACATACATACAACAACTACTACGCCTCAGTTCCAAACAAGTTGGGTTCGGCTATACGAACCCTCACTAACCACGTTATTCATTTAAATTATCTCAGGAACGGTATTAAAAGTTTTGAATATTTCAAGGTCATTCTATTTTCAGTATCATACATAGATAAATGAAATTTGAAGGTCGTACCATTTTCACTTATTGTAGTTTTGTCTATAAGCAACACTATAGAGTTCATTTTGATGCAAAAGGATCCCATCTACGTAGCAATACCGAGTCTAAAATACTTAATATTATACTCCTTTCTCCGATGTAAAGTGACATAGTTTGATTTTTACACAAAATTTTAAGACTACTTCTCAATTACATGTGAACTAGATTTAGAAGGAAAAATTAAAACTTGTTGAAGCCGTGAAGAGGACTTTAGATAGCAACTGAATATATATCTATCTCCTCTCACCCTATGAAGATAAGAAATTTGTCAAGTCTTAATTTTGATATCGAGTTCTCATCAATTAACCAAGTATATCTTGCACATGCCAATGGAAAATTGATCAACCGGTGACAACTTATGAAGCCCCATAATCGCCCATTGCTCTAGAGAATCCTCATAGTCCAGCCTTTTTCCAGTAACCTAATTGCATGGAGATTCCCACCAATTGCCCATGGAATCTCTTGCCACCCACATCCACCCTGAAACTTCCTACCGAAACTCTAGTTTTGATCCCTCACCTATGGCCCATAGACTCCCATAAAGCCCCACTAAATAACAGTGCCCACATTTTATTAAAGAAATACCAATGGAATAACTCCCCTTCCTCACATCCCAAAGTACCCACGCCCTCTTATTCCCTAGCACTACAATACCTCCCATTCTTCCCCTAGTCAGGGTCATGACACATGTCTCACAATTGACTCTGGTACTTCTTCCGCTTCTGATTCTGGCAAACACAGGAAACTTGCACCTCTGCTAAACTCATCTTGATGAAGGGTTTTTTACCCGAGTCATTCATTTCTCTCACATTTCACGATATTATTTTACTCTCTACATGCAATACACACTAATTCTCTCCCTCCTCTTTTGCTTCCATCCTCCTCCCTATCGCTACTAATGAGAGGAAACTTTTAATTACTTCATTATACCTCTAACACTTACAAATGTATGTTTATAAATTGTTTCACATTTTGCAATTACATAACCTTTATATGTATCCATAATCCTTTTTGTGCTGGATCAGAGACGAAATGGCCTCCAAGTTAAGCTTTGATGAAAATAAGTACCTTACCACTCTTTACGGCCCATTAACTAAACTACTTTTCATATGACCCATCCCACAAGATTTGACTTCTTTTACTAGGCAGCT